AACTGTATCAGTGTTTTAAGAGTCTCCTTGAGTTCTTCCAGCAGTTTTACAGTTAGTATTTATCTAGCTGGTACTTCATTCATAAGGCAACTCCACTTCTATCTTTGCATCTCAACTATGGATAAGCCTTTTGTTCTTGATATATTTGTTTTTTCAAGACTGGTTTCAAACCTGTGTTCATCAAAATTTTAGGAAGTACGACAATTTATATTTCACCATTAGTTACCTATTCCAAGATCCTAGTTTTTTCCTGCTAATAATACTAAGAAAGTCAACTATGTTCTTTTTCTCAAAATTGCACTTTATCTGCCCTTAACTATTCTATATAATTTTAAAATTTTAAGAGTGGGACATTGGAAATACACATTTTAGGTTAGTATCTTGCTGATTACCAAACTGATGCTTCATTGAACATAAGTTACTGCTTACATTCATTCTAGATCACATGTGAAAGCAGAAAACATTAATTTTAATGTGTAATTATTTTTCATATAAATGGTTTAAGCTACAAATAAGGGGTAGTCAAACTCAAAATGAATTTTTTTAAAGACCGTTTGCAAATTTCTCTCTCTCTTTAATACCGTGTTTGTTTTAAATGTGACTGTACATAATGTGAGAGCAGCCCTGTTTTAGCAAATGTAAAACAGTAGTATAGAATATTATCACATAATCTTAGTTATTGTCTGATAAACTGGAACACCTTATCTGTAAAACAGCATTCATTTTTCATTCTCTGTTGCTTACTTTGATGATAGGGGGTTTCTTACTCCTTACTTTTTTGTTTCATTTTGTATTTTCTCTTCATAGAGTTAAGTTTTAATGTAACTATAGCCGAATAATTTTTCTAGTCCCTATCTTATAGAAGAAACATACTCCCAAAAGACATTCCTGGTCATTTCACCATTGCCGCTCTGGTGGCAGCAGTGAATTCCCCCCATGAGGCAGCTCCAACCGTTCTCCAGAGCCGAGAGAGCAAGATGGAGCTCGCAGCTGCCCCAGCCCTCCTTATTTCCAGCTCAGTTCTCAGGGTGTCTGTGCCCTTCCGAGAGAAACCCTCACATAAGAGAGTAACTAACCACACCTTTTTGGGACAACTTCTTTTTTCTTTTAAGTACCTGGTCGTTATGTCTCTTAGCAACAAAATGGGAAATAATTCTCTACCAGAAAGATAATGAAAGGAAAACCCCAAACTTCCAACAGGCCTTTTGTTTTTCCTCTATTCAGGGGGAAAATGAAGTGGGTCCCCTCCTCCCTGGGTTTGTTGACTTGAGTTAGTATCAATTAAGCTCAGTATTAACTAAAAATTAGTGGAAATAATAGTATTTCCTCTAGAATTGTGTTAGTTGGTAGTTGATCTGAGGTGCAGTGCACAACTACTTCAGTTACTCAGGTTTCCCAAGAATTATGCAAGTGATCGGCATCTATTTGTAAAATCCACAGGCTGCATCTGTTTTTTCATATGACTGACCTTGTCCTGGTGTGCATCAGTCTTAATATTCAAGAGTCCTTTGGGTTAGTAAGCCTTTCTACTTCCATTCTGCTATGTTACGTAAAGTAATGGAAAGGGTGACGGTTAGTACTAAGAAAAGTATTGGGTTGCAGCAATGCCGCGGCCGATAATCCTGTGCCCTGGCTAGCTGAGAGGGTGGCCAACAGCCCCACTGCAGCAGGGGGTGTCAGTCCCGGTGGCAAGGCCCCAGGCCTGGCAGCTTCAGGCACCCCTCGGCGGTAGAAGCCTCGGGCTGTGCCTGCAGGACGAGGTCTCAGTGAGAAACTGCGAGGCAGGGCGGAGCGAAGCAAGAGCCGGACACTCTCTGGGGTTAAACTGGTTTAGTGTCCCGGGGGACGACCAGCAGAGAGTGACAAACTGGGAAGGACCAGCAGAGAGTGACAAAGAAAAGGGGTAGAGCATGGGATTATAAAGGGAGGTGGTAACTGAAGGTGGGATTTACAGAAAACCAATCAGGGAGGAACAGGGGACGGGCTTAACATAACAGACTGTAAGGGAGAACCAATCGATACATTGTAAAGGAGGGGCCCCGGGACCTCAGCCAATCACTACTCCCACTGAAGGGAACCTTCTAGAAGACTGGGAGTGGTGGGGAGTGATTGACTGGGCCCAGGGAGGAGAGAAAACTATACATATATGGAGATATGGGGCGGGGAAGTTACATAACAAGGGGGAAACCATAGCAACTAAATAATAGACAGAAACTGGGGTGGGGAAAACTGGGAGGACGGAACCATCATAACAAATGGGGGAGAAACAGAACATACCAACACACCACAACATTGGGTGACAGGAAAGGGACTGTATAGATTTTTTTAAATATACATGTTGCAATTGCATGTAGGCTTTCATGAATTTATGAAATAGGATGTCAGTTTCTAGAGCTGCTACCACTTGGTGCAAAGTAAAACCAATGTATAGTATACTTAGTGCTTCCTGACCAGCAGTTTGAGCCAAACAAAGCAGTGTTAAAAAGGGTGTTAGCTCATGATTTGAGTTTTTTAAGAGCAACTGTTCTCAAAAATGTTTAAATTGTTTTGGTTTGAGCTATAATTTTATGGTGGTTTTACTTCTCCCATACGATAAAAACTATTTGCAGTATTCTGAAAGATGTACTTCAGAGTTAAGCAAAAGATTGTTGTGAACTTCCCTTTTTAATTTGCCTGGAACTCTTTCATATGGGAAAGTGGAGACATTTCAGGTCATTTTCAGAAGTAGCATATGCACTCTGACACCTAGTGTTGGGGGTAATTTATGCATCATGTGCTATTACCAAGATGTCTTTAATCATTTCCTTAAAGTTCATTTGGCATCTGCAAAGACTGTTTTTGCATTATAGCCGCAGAGCAGTCATTGTCATTTCATATAATCTTTAATCTTCTTATGCAAATTGCTGTCCCTGTAATAACCTATTTAGAAATTGAAAGTTAAATACGACAAACTTCACAGAAAAAAAAAATTATTCTTTTTAGTTTGCTTTTGCTTTCCTTCCTTCCCACAGTCATTCATTCTCCTTTACTATATTAGGAAAATTAGTGCTCACCTTCTGTGATGTTGCCCTTGAAAGGAACAGGCTTAATTGTGTCACAAAAGGCCTGTCCCATGTCCCATTTCATGTAGACTGAATTGCCTGCTTGGAATTTTAATGATTCTGTAATAATAGAATTTAAATTAGAAAAACTGATGGCATTAAAAAGATATTTGCTAGTAACTTCTTTCATGGAAAAGTGTCTCATACTTATTTATAATCTCCTTGAAAAAATTGTACATTATGTTCTTCAGGTTGTTATTGATGGATTGACTGGTACACAGAGCCGCTGAGTAACTCAAAGCACACCCAAGGACTTTATTATATAAAAATGCTGTTTTAACCATACTGGATGTATTTTAACCTTCTAAGGTCTTTGACCTCCTGTTTTTGAGGTTGATAGATTTCTTGAAATATAATTCCTTTTTATATTTTTACATATTACACCACCTGTATTAAGGTGTGAATATGCTTCAGTTTGACTACTAGAACAGAGAATGATCAAAAAAATAAGGGATACCATTTTTATTTAAGTGTACTTGTATTAAAGTTTTCATTTGGATCGTAAATACACCTTTGAAGCAAATCTGCCCAGGATGCACAGCTGCTCATGGGAGGGAGCTCAGTTTTCAGAACCAGGAAAGATTTAGCCTGAAATGATGCTTTTCTCCCAAATACATGTTTCAGATTCTGAGCACCAGTTGATTTGCTCTGATGATCTGCTACTATTTCACTAGTGCTGAAATACTCATGGTATATGAATGCTCTGTAGTTAATTCAAATTCTGAACTTATGGAAAAAATTAACTGCTGCTTTGTCAGATGAGTTAAGCCATGTGTTTGTTACTAGTAACTTTAATTTTAAAATTCTGGGTCTATTTTTATGTGACAGAGAAGCCTGTGATATGGTCTGATATGTTTTGTGTACATAGGAAAATGATGGATCAATCATAAATGATGAGGTGAAAGAAAAGTGCTGAAAGAAAAAAAAACCCAGGCATTTCTTATTAGTGTTTCTAGTGCTGATAAGTAAGTTTGCAAGTGACGTGAAAATTCTCTGCAGATCTGAAGCTGTCTTGCAAGGTATGAATGTATTGAGGAGTTAGACTTGGAAGGAAATTGTGAAGAGCTGTAAATTTAAGTTAGATTTTCTTCATGAAAATCCATTAGTAAAAATCTGAAATTATGCTAATTTTTTGTTGATGGATTTTCTGGGGAGGTTTGTTTTATTTTAGCAAAGCAAGCTGAGGTTCACTGTTGCAGACAACACATGTGCTTAGAGTACAGGTAGTGTGTGCCCCTCAGGCCAGCAAATCACAGGAGGAGGAGGAATTGAAGGAGGCTGCTGACCAGTCTCCGTTTCAGGGAAGCACTCTTAAGCCTGCTGGGAGATATTGAATAGAAACAAGGAGACTTACAAAGGCCAAGTTTATCACAAAGTAATGCTGTCACACAATTACAGATGCTCATTTCATGGCTGGAGACAATTAAGGTGCTGCAGAGGGAAGCAGTGGCGGTAATGGTGCTCCCTGTAGGGAAGATCGTCTTGAGTCTGTTTGACCTGAGGACAACTCTTGAGGAGCAGGAATCCAAAAGACAGAAGAAGCCTGTAGCAGGGAGTGATGCAGTTATTGCAGCTCTACCTTGGCTAGATCTGTCACTCCAAAGAGGATTCCTGTGGCACCCTGGCTTACCTGTGTGATACCCACCAATTTGGCCAAGCATTCTGTAGAAATGCCAAGAAGCACCTGGTGGTAGTGATCTTTGGGTGTTGGTTTTTGGCCTAAAGCTGTAATTTTCATGGGCGTGGTTAAAGTCTAATACATGCATTTTCAAATGTCAAAATACATCTTCAGTTTTCTTTAAGGAAATTGATCACCATTGAAAGTGAGTGTTTATAATATGCAAAAGACATACTTACAGGAAATGCATGTATTTATTGTATGTGCACTAAATTAATCAATAGCCTGCAGCTATTGACATTTGAGAACAGAGTTTCATATCCTAATATTAGAGGTACATTTCAGTTACATTCTCATTCCTTCAGAATTTGGAGAAGTGTCACAGGATTTGCTTTTAACATTTTTTAGCAGAGATTATTGCAATATTTCTGTCAGATAACAAAAGGAATGCATCATCCTTAATGGTGGCCTGTACCTGTCAAGGCATGTCATCCTGTAGAGAAAAGGGAAAAAAGAGAGTAATTTACTCTTTGTGCTAACAAAGTACTGAACCAAATTTATGTATAGTTTCAGGTATATTGACTAGTTTCAAAATTGAAAGGATTTATTTTCTCAAAAAATCTCATTAAAATGCTTTATAATAATGGAGGCAGATAAGGCTACCTGAACAAAGAGTAATAAGGATTGTTTTATATTCAGTGACCGAAGTTTTTTATAGTTTTTTTAAGAGGCCATGGCAACAAACATCAGCTCTGTTGAATGTTTCTGGTTCAGTCTTGTTTTTCTGGTATTTCTTTCCATGATGAGGTTTAGATTAAAATTGAAAGATAACCCTCCTAAAGGGTGTAAGCATTACGGTCAAACCTAGAAAAAAAGTATTTTATCAAGTATATGAATTTCATTTTAACAAACACAATGTAATTTCTGACCAATTTAATAAAGAAAATTCTCTGTCCTTGAAATTTTAAACCTCGGCAACATGTGCATTCCTACTTTCTGTGCAACTTTCATATAAAAAAATTACAGAATGCCATACTGCTGTGTGGAGTGCAAATTGAATAAAATGAGTTATCTCAAACACAACTGAAACAGCAGGAAGCAGGAAAAAAAAGTAAAATTTATAAAGCAAGAGATGGAAGCAAGCAATTCATTCTTAAAAAAATAAAAAGGTATATTATTAGGAAGGGGTAAAAATTTTTAAATGAAAGATTTAAGACAATTTTTTTTTATAACTGATAGCTAAGAGAATAAACTACTTCAATCAAAGCATCCTTCATCAAAGATTATTTAGATTTACTAGAATTTGCTGCTGTTCATTTGGCTATACACGTGAAAATCAAAGGATTGACTGTGTTCTGTAAAATTCTGGGTGTAAATTGTGCCTTATGGAGCACTTTTAAAAACTGGGCCTTTTATCAGAAGCTTTATAACCAGATGTTAATATAGTGCAATAAAGATTTATATTGGAATTGTGTATGACTGCAGCAGTTTTTCTGCTGAACTAAAACTCTTGTAGTCCTTGTAGTAAACTTCTTGTAGTCCTCTAATTATATTCTTATTCCTGTTTTCACTAGTGCAGTCAGGATGACTTTAAGGCAAATAATGCTTTGAGTTTTCAGTGTTTTCATAGTATGTGGCTGACAAGCACATAACCTTCCTTGAACACTGGCTCTCATGGGTCAGAAAACACAGTGTAGATTAAGAATAGGAATGAGTGTCTGTGCGCTTAAATTCCTGTGAAGTAGCTTGTGGTTGCTTAAGTAGTTGGCCTCCGCCAATTTAAGTGGAACAAAATGTTAAAAAGGAGCGAAATGGCATTTCAGCTGTGGAGGAATAAAGGATACACACAAAAAGGAGCTACAGGGTAAGAAGGATACGTTTTTCTTAAATCTGGTTAGTGCATCTGATGTATGTAATAGTGTCTGAATTCTCAAGATCTGTTTATTTAAATGTTGATTAAGGAGGAGTTCAGAGGTGAGAATAGGTAAGGCTTCAGGATTCCTTATTTGCAAAGTAAATACTGTACTTAGCCTACTATTGAGGGTAGTGCATGGATTTCATGCTCAGTTCATAGTGAAGTAAATGCTATTACCAATTCTATCCTTTCTGTCACTTGGATTTCTTCCTAATAGAGTTGCCAATGATTTACATAGTGTATTACTAAAATTAAGATCACCCCCAGAGGGTGGTGATCAGTTGTGCAAAGTCTAATTAGAGGCCAGTAACTACTGCTCTACCCCTAGGGTCAGTCCTGTGTCCAATCCTTCCTTTATCCACTTCTTCATTAACAAGCTGGGTGATGGCTAGCAGTCTTACTGATGAGACCAGTCTTGGAGGATGGGCTGATACACCAGAGGGTCAAGCTGCCATCCAGAGCAGCAGGAAAGGCTGGAGAAATGGATTTGACAGGGGCCTTATGCAGATCAACAAGGGGGAAAACAAAGTTCTGCAACTGGGGAAGCACAACTCCAGGCACCACAACATGCCTTCACTCCAAACATCTTCCCCCTTCCTTCTTTTTGAGCAGCTTTATATGGTAGGAGTGATGCTGTATGGTATGGGATATCCCTTTGGTCTGTTTGGTGTCAGTTGTCTTGTCTCCTCACAGCTACTTGTACAGCTGCTAGAATAGGTGGTAAATTCTTCAAAACATTCACGTTCACTGTTTATATTTCATGTTTAATTTTAGAGAAGGATGTGCACACATGCATGACATAAAGATTGCTTCATGGGTAATCATCTTTGTCAAGAGAATACTTTAACATGTAAAACCAAAATATAACCCCAGACTAGCTACTGTGAACAAAATTACCCCAGCCAGAACCAACACAGTAACAAAGATTACTGTGTCATCTGTCTGTAGAATCTGTAGATTCTACAGACCAACCACACAGGAAAATTTTGTCACTAATACAGGAGAAAAAAGATTGCTGAAGACTGCATTTAGAAGATTACTAAAGTAATAATAGAATCTGCTAATATCTAGCAGAACCATTTCCTGTATTTGCTGCTTCCCTTTGTGTGTCCTTCATTGATCAGCTTTTTTTTTCTGCTGCTAAGAGCTTTTCCATTGCTTTTGCTGTCTGAATAATGAGTTGGTGGTATGTGAGAAAATACCAATATCTTGTTAAAGAACTGTATGCATTTGATGTAAAAAACCCAGTGCAGCATGTTCTTTTTAAACTCTTGGCATCCATGTAGTGTTGTATGACTTCTGATTCAAAGCCAACATCTTACATGGAATGCAGGTCAAGCTCACTGGTACACTGAAATCTCATAAGTTAAGGCTACAGTTTCCTTTCTGCGTGGCTTTGCCTTTTTCCTGTGTCTCACAGTCACAAATCAGTTAATGCATCAGATTATTTGAAATTTGGACAGCTTATTTCTGTTCCAGCTCAGCGGTTTTAACATGCTATCTGAAGCTTATGAAAGACAATGCAAAATAAACATGTGTGGCTAGAAAAACTTAGGATGAAGAATCTTGGGGTTTTGCTTTGAAGAAAATAGTAATTTGGTGGAAGGTCTAATGTGGAACTGTAGCACTCTGAAAGGTATTGCATGCTGACCACTGAAACTTAGACATTATTTTTGAGGGATGAATTAAGCTTTTCTCTTCCTGGCGTAAAGAAATCTAAGTGGAAACAACTGGATATGGAACTAAATGTCTTATATAGTTCAAGGAGACTGTCTTGGACATTGTTACAAACACCTGTAGTTCCCCCAAGCCCATTTGACATAACCTTTCCATATGTGGGTGGAAGTGAAAATGTGTTTGCACATATGTGAAAATATTTTAGCCTATTTTAATAATTTGAGTGTTTGGGTAGTGTGTTGTGCATACATAATGTGACTCTGCTTTTCTATTCCTCTCTGTTTAAATTACATGGAATGTTTAAATGAAAAATCACGTTACCCCCTGGTTTTGTTTGCCTTTGAGTGTTTTGTTGGTCATACCTGATCCAGAGCTGATAATTTTTCTATTGGAATATATTTGGTTAATAGATGATTCAGAGTACTTTGTTTTAGTAGCTGAATTTACTGTATTCAGTCGAGAGGAATAGTGTGTGTTTTAATGTGCTTGAAATATAAAGGTTTTGACATCAAGTTGACTTTCCTTTTCCTGTGCTTAAGTATTTCACATTCTATGTCTTTTTCTTTTCTCGGTTGTTTTTTTAAACTTCTTTATTTTTCTTTATTTCCTGTTTTTTTCCTGAAATATTCTTAGCATCATTTTAGCCCTTTCATGAAAAAGAAAACATAAGTTTAGGGAAGTACTGCAAAAAAACCCTGAGGAAAACAGGTATTGTATGTTGAATTGTACAGTCGCTTTGTGTACTGATCTTCAAGGAAGAATGGTCAAAGAACAGCTGTGCAGGTAATCTGACGTCACTTCTGCAGTTTATAAATTGCACAGTAGCTTTTCCAAATGTTACTTCTCCTGTTGTATGATAATTCAGAATTTGGTTTAGCAGGAGGGTTGAACTTCACAGAGTTTTTATGTAATAGTAAGAAGTCAGATAAAATAGTACTTTTTTCCCAAGGAGCTAAACCTGTCTGTGCTATTATTCTCTTTAACAGCTCACATTGAGTTTCATCAGTGTGGCTTAATACAGTGCTGTTAATAATGCAAAGCAGCTTCCATAACAATTTTTACAGCTCATGAATCTTTATTCTGAAACAGTTTTAAAGAAGTTGCCAGTGAGGTTTTTCAAAACCCCTCCTGTAAAACCCACTTATTCTTATGAAAAATCTTTCCCATCAGCTACCTTTATTTCTGTACTTAATCTGAAGGACTTGAAACACATAGTTTATGATTCATTAAATTGATATGAACATTAGACCTACTGGCATAGGTGGTATCAAAAATAGTACTTCTCTAAAAAGACAATTTCTCATTCCAATGCTGATAAGCCCTATCCACATGTACACAGCTGTTACTTTTTTTTTGTCTGGTTCATCAAGTTCTGATAAGTGAGATTTGAATACCCATCTGATGAAAATTGTCTGTGATTCTGATTTTCTTAGCCATAAAAAGAATTTTACTCCAATTATCATTAGTATTGGAAATGAAAGATTAACTTTCCATTTTTGTTGATGCGGAAAAATAGCTCTTAGCTGCAGTAATTCATACTACTGTATTTCCTATTTAACTTGTAAGAAGGAGAGCAAATAATACTTTTCAAAGTATTTTTAATGCATTTTTTCTGCTTAAACCATGAAGAAACAGGCATCATCTTTGTTTGTGCACTTGACTCCTGAGGTGTTGACCATATCCCTCTATTTTGAGTTTTTTTAGAAGAATGTTAAGCATTAATGTACGGGGATGAGGGAAAGGGGAAGGATATTTAGTTTTTTCACAAATGCCACATGCTGTTCTGGGATAGATTCTTAAGATTGGAAAGTCATATGTTTTGAGTTCTCTTAAAGCAATAAGTTTTGGTTGATTCCTTCTGGGGCTCCTTAAATCAGCTGAAGTTTCCAGCCTATAGAGTTTTTTATCCTTTTTCACTTGGCTACATCTACCATTAAGATGAAAAACAGTGACAGTGTTCTAGATACTGCCTTCTGAACTAGGAAGAGTAAATAATGTGACAGAGAACATGAGATGAGTAAATAACAGTGATGATAACAAAAAGTCTTACTTACTCACAGTGTTGGAGCCTGATCAGTATTTCCTCACTCTTCCTCTTTGAAAAATCTTGCATTGGAGTTTGGGTAAGAATCTTGATGTTGTTTGGTGGTTCTCTGAAACTGAATACAAACACAGGTGACTTTTTTCCTCCTGCCTTTTCTCTCTCCTTTTAGAAATGGTAAGATTTTTAGAACCAAGTATTTAAGCTGAGGCTCATAAATTCATACCTAATTCTCAAAACATCTGTTTTTAAAAGTTTATTTTCTGATTGCTTTACTGCTGGTTTTTAATTTGAAAAAGTACCATTTTAGGATTGTTAATGATTGAAATTGTTACTGAGAATTATAGAAAATTAATGCTAAGGGAATTTGAACGCTAAGTATTAGATTGTGATTATGTTTTCTATTTTATTGAAAGCTGTTATAATTTACTGCAGATGATTTGTAAACTTTCTTCCTGGTATAGTTATTTGTGATCTCTTTGATGTAACTTCTCCTAATGAAGGGAGATGGGCAGGATAAAAACTGCATTTATGCGTTTTGAAGATGTTTAGGGTAATAGTGATAACATTTCAGTCTCATAGCTCAGAAAAGGAAAATTGAGATTTCATTTTTTGCAGCAACCAACTGCTGTTCAAACTGTTTTCAGTGCCTTGCACACAACTCCACTGTATGCTCACTGAAGTAAGGAATGATGAACAATTGCATCTTTGCTAACAGTTCAAGGTTTGAACCTTATCATGGCCTAGGGAACCATGAAACACCCTAACATTATAAAGGAATGCTGTGTATCCAGGAAAAGAATAGTGTATATCCAGAATACTTTATTTTATGAGTAAAAGGAGACATTTCTTATTATTTCTAAGTATGGCTTTTCACAATTGAAAGTTTTATTTCTTTAATTACTGGTCTGTTTGAGCTTTGGTTTTTGTCACTCACAATTAACTTCTGAAATAACTCTTCTCTTTGAAAATGCTTATCTTTGTTGAAATCGGACAAGTGTGCTGAGTGGTTGCCCAGAGTCTAGAAAGATAGTCACTAGCAAGCTGCTGCATATAAAAACCTTGTGTGTGATGTGGGTTATCAAGTGCCTGGCTATTGGGTAGGAGTAACTGTCATGGCTGACCAAGTTCTCCCCTTTGTGAACTGTCTGGTTGACAACTTGTTTCTCAGTGTTTGACCAACAGATGTAGCAGTACCTCCAAAGTAAGATAAATTGATAGGATTCCTATCATCTTATTAGTAAACCTGTTCTTCAAGTGTGATGTTCATGTAATTCAGTTTCTCCTCCTGGGGGAAGCTAGAGGACAGAAATAAAGCAGAATGTGGTAAGCTTGTAGATGTCCCAAGTTATTCCATTTGGAAATAAGGTATATAATTAAGATTACAAATGAGTATGCTCAAATGCTAATTTGTGTGACTGAATTTTTCTGAAGTGTTTTTATATTCTGTGGTCCAAAATTAACAAGAGAAAAATCTGAACCAGCACAAGGTAAAGAGATAGCGATGTCACAAGAAAAGGGCTGCATCATAAATGTCTTCCTTCTGGGTGAAATTAATGGGCATTAATAGTCTCAGGAACTCTGCTTGCTGTCATTCAGATTACTTTGATTAGGTACAAAAATGTACTGGATTTGCTCCAATTGATTTAGAAGCAACTGGCTCTATTGAAATGAAAAATTCTGTGACTTGGATTGATATGCATTAAAGTGTCTGTTGATCTATACCTACATTCAAGAATATTTTTGTCCCATTTTGCTGTCACATTTCTTTTGTAACTTTCATTATCTTTTGCACACTTGATGAATCTGTAGAGTAATGGCATTTGACAACTGGAAAAATCCTTACATTCTATTCACAATCAGAATTAAGCAGTTAGAGAAGATGATGAACTTCGTGATCAGACACATTATTTCATAACCTTTGTTTATGAGTGCTAGTATTTATGCATTGATTTTGACATTGATAAGTGTGCCTTATTGATGTCTTTAATTACTGACAGCTATTCAGATTATTAATTGATGTCATATTAAACTCAGAGCAATTCAAGTAGATTTAGTGAGACAACAAATTTGGAGTAGAATGTCTTGTTATTTTTAACCTTACTGTTCATATTATAGTTTACTAATTAAAGGCAATTATCTGACCAATGACACTGTGTTTTGAACACTATTTAAATTAATGTCTAACACATTGCAAATTAGAAAATTTGGTTTGTTTCTTTTTTAACGTCAGAATTGTACATTGGCATGATGTATATGACTCTCTCTTCTGTTAGATTTTTTTCTTACTGTCTGCTTTTGTGCAGTCTATAGGAGTAGTATCAAATGAAGCTGATCAAGCTTTGACTAATTCGATGACTGTGAAAAATCGGGCAGAACCACAATAAATTAATAAATGAGTTAAAGCGGTATAAGAAATGACTGAAGGCTTTCATAAAAAGTACAGATTAATGTACAGATGCAGTGATAATAAATCCTTCAATAGATAATTTGATTCCACTTTATGTTGTTATTTTCTTTTGTTAGTTCTCTGAAGAATTATCAGATTTTTTTCCTTCATAGACAAGCTTTTGAAATGTCATATTGTCAATTTATTGAAAAAGTTATTCACTGAAGTACAGAATCCTTTTAGTTAAGCAGTAAAAAATCCATTCAATTTTAATTGTCTAACTTTTTGGCTCTACCACACTTATTTCAATGTTAAAAACTCTTATGTTAATACCTCTAGGTAGTAGTTTTTGTATTGCTGTTTTTTGTTTTTTTTTTACAGCTTTCTTTGCAAATTATTTTCTTAAATGTGAGTATTATTATTGAAAGAGTGTGCAGTTTGATGGCACTTCCTATCTATTTGTAGTATAACAGCTTCTGAATGTGACATTCATTCTGCAAAAAGTATCAACTGAGATGAAGGAAATACATTTCTTATGATGTTTGATCAGTGAGGCTGTAGTTTTAAGCAATAATCTTGTGTATAAGGGAAAAATAAACTATTGTATATTGAGGATTTCCTCCTAAGTCTCACAGTTTCCCACCTGGGGAAGAGATACAGTAAAGATTGGTTTCCATCATGCAGCATGGTAGTGTGGTACCGGAATTCTTGGGATGGGACTGAGAGGTGTTGTGTGCTGGGAGTTTGGGTTAATGGAGGCATTCAGAGAGTCTCTGGAATGCACACTTGTAACATTCTACTTATGGACAAAAGCGTAGAAATCACAATAGCAATGATCCCCACCCCTTTTTAGATTTGCTGAATTCATGTTCGACAAAAAGTCTCCAGAGAGGGTGAATCCATGACCTCCCTAGGCAGCTTACTCCAGTTCCTAACCACTCTGTCAGTTAAGAATTTTTTTCTAATCTTCAATCTGAACCTCCCTTGGCACTATTTAAGGCCATTTCCTCTTGTCCTTTCATTTGGGATGTGGCAGAAGAGACTTATCCCCACCTAGCTTCAACCTCCTTTTCTCCAGACTGAGCACCCCCAGTTCCCTCAGCTGCCTCCTAACAGACTTGTGCTCCAGACCCTTCCCCAGCTCCAGTGCCCTTCTCTGGACATGCTCCAGCCCTTCAATATCCTTCCTGAAGGGAAGGGCCCAGAACTGGACATCAGTGCCCAGCACAGGAGGATGGTCAATTCCTGGACAAATGCTTTACCTGTCATGTGGTATCTTTTCAAGCAGTTGCCTGTATTATTTCCAACTTCCAAAAAAGATATAAGAGATGCAAATATGTGTCTTGTTGACAAGTCAGAAGATCAGTTCATTTCCATGTGCACTGAGGAGAAAAATGTGGGAGTTTTTTTTTAATTTAGTACTAAGTTACTTCATATACTAAAATGAAGTTTTCTTATGTAATTTTCACTTGACAAATTGTTAAAATCAAGGTGCTAAATATTATTTCCAGAGCTTGTGTGAAACTTTGCATAGTGCTAATCTGTCTACATACCATCATGCTGTAGGCTTAATTTTTAATAATAATTTGCTATACGATATCACCCACCATTTTATTGTATAGCAAGGTTTCTAAACTCTTGAACTATAAATGCGTATGTTTAAAATTTCTTGGTATGCTTGTGATTGAGTGCTCTAAATGTAATACTTCTTCAGCTCCATTTCTGAAATGTGTCTTAGAGAAACTGTATCTGGCATATTTGCACAGACTGAAATTTCTGCTTTCCTTTTCATAGGATAAGAAGTGGGTTCTCAATCATGAAGATGTCACGCTGGGGGAATTACTGGGCAAAGTAAGTAATAAAGTGAGCTAAATAACATTTGAGTAAGTATAATTTAATAATTAAGCTATTTCTGTATACCTTTTCTTTTAAATTGCTCTGGTATGCAATTTTTATGTCAATTTTTTACACTAATACATGAGACAATCTTATGCTATAAACAGACATAAGTCACACTTAGTAGTAAACATTATCATGATTGTGCTGAAAATATTTAACTAGTATACATATTTTTTTCTCTTTTGGAAGAGTTTTGAGGTAACTAGATTTCTATAAAGCATGATGTGGCTGTTTTACTTTCTGTAGTTGGAGACAAATGTTGCAAAATATAAATAAAAACACATAGAGAAATAGGTGTATGCTTATGCATTTGTGTATAAAATTTGATGAGATGACTAAATAATTATTTATTAAAACAAATGCTAATTGCTTGTGCATGATTATTTTCACTCATTTATTGATGGAATTAGATAATTTCACAATCTTATTAAATCTTGTGTAGTTCATAAACACTGGTTTACAAAGTCTGCTTAGGAACTACAGATCTTTAAGCAACTCCTCACTTTTTTGGCACCTTTGCACCTGCAAAGACCATTTTGGGTGCTGCTCTGGACACAGAGTAGTTTGAAAAGATTTTCCAAAAACTGAGAAAATAAGATTAAATGAGGAAGAGACAAATCAAAGTAGTTAATTGCCTTCTTACTATGGTGCACACTAAAAAAAAATCAGTAAGAAATTCAAGAATGGGGAAAAAATATTTCCATAAACTTCTGTTTCCCAGTATAAAAGCTTATTGGGAGATTAAGATGACAGAAAATATGACCATATTGAGCTGTGCCTTCATAAAATACAGGTACTTAGGATCTTCACATTCTTAAACAGGATGGTATCAAGGGAGAAAAATGAAGATGTTCCAGCCACAAAAAAAGCTTTGACTTGTTAAAAAATAAATATGAATTAGTTTTGAAAAGCATTTTTAGTAAATTCAGTTTACATGGTATTGCATGTTTTTGGCACAAAGCATTTTTAATATTCAGTAAAGGCAGCTCAGAATTTTAATTATAGAAGGATGTTCTTTAAGAAATACAGAATAGGCTAAGAACTTTATTGGAACACAGCATGATTCTTATGCATTCACCTCTAAGAAGATGTGTTCATACTAAAAAAGATAAGAATGACAGGAATATTGACATCTGTGTGAGAAAATGTGAAATAAACTATAGCCATTCACCACAGAAGTGAGAAATCAGAGTCTACAAAACCTTGAGTGGCCTGGAAAAGATGAGGAAGAAATCACAAAATTTTAATGTGTAAAAGATGCAAGCTTTCGAAAAGATGCACATCAGGGGTGAATGGCCAGTTTATTTACTCAGCGATAATTCGATAATACCCCACAAAATGAAAATTGCAGAACTGGAATGTGTTTTACTAAAAATTATCTATCCAATAATACTTTAATATTGTCAATAAAGAAGTAAAGCATTTTCAAGACTTAAATAAAGCTCAGGATGGATTCAGATTTCACTGTTAAATAATTCTCACCAGAATGGTAAAGTGGCCTGGGAGCAATTCACCTGCTTACCTTGGGTGCCTCATGCCATTTCAGATCTGAGAGGTAACGTGCTACCCTCTGGAAGTGCTTTAGAAGGGCTGTCAGAGATCCTGAGCCTCACTTGCCAGCTACATCTTCCTTGTCCCAGCATACAGAAAACAATTCTGCAGGCGTGTTCAGCCCTGCATTTATTCCCTTGCTACTGGAAGCATGTTACTCTTTTCCATCTGTGAGTTTCTTTTTTTTCTTTTCTGTCATCTTTCTTTGGCAACACTAAATTCAGCTGCATGATGTAATGAAATCTTCATCACTCATGAAAGGAAGGCAAACATCTCCAGCAGAATTTTTGGAAGTCACATGCAGCCCCAGACACCAGGACACAGAACTGTAGTATGTGTAGAAATTAATCAGACATAGTTTCAAAATTGAGTTGTGCTTATTCTTTGGGAAATACAAAGCTTTACTAGATGTATCAGATCTGTAGTTTTCTTCTTGTTTCCTTCTCTTGAGGGCTTTTTTTCATTGATACCAGTGCTTTAAACCTCACAATTTCCTCCTTCTTTCAATTTGTGTCCTAATTAATTTTCCTTTTCTTTTCATTACATAAAAATGCATCAGGTGGAGTCTTTTATGGTATTTAGTACTTCAGTTTTCTTCTATGAAAGCTAAAAAAACTTAAATTGCCTTGGGGGTATGTTATTCACTACCTAAAATGTCTGATGATAAAAGGAGCTGCTTTCTAAAGTCTTGTCCAAATGACAGCCTTACAGATTTCTTTATAGAGCAGTGCCGAGCTTGAGTTTTAAAGAAATTCTGGATCACCATACACAGCAATACATTTGAAGTGGGTTTAATTTATTATAAAAATTAATATTCAATGTTTTCCTTCTTTGTATTTTCTGTTTTTTCTTTCTTGTATATGAGAATGTTTATGTTTTTTTGGTGTGTTGTGTCACAGTTTTTGAGATCAGTTTTTGGTCTCTTCCAGACTGCAAGTTAAAAACTATTCACAAAATACAATAGTGTGAAAATGAAAGAGGGCAAGAGTAAGAATAAGAACAAAGTACTACAGTTGATTTGAAAAGCCACTAAAAGGTTTTATGAGAAAATTCTAATTACTTAATTAATGGTGTTTTTTTCCTCCTTCCAGCAAGGTCAAAACAGAACTCATATGCTGTGTCCACATAATAGATGTACTATGTCAGAGTGAATGGCTTTGATTAGGACAGATACTGAAAGAAAACCTCATTTGGCTTCATAAACACATTCCAGAGTTCTGGTCCACTTTCAGTAGCTCTCTGCATTATTTCTTCTGGCAATTCATTAAGATTTTATTTACCTAGAATGATCTTTTTTCTCCTGATTTCAGGGTAATTTTGGTGAGGTGTATAAAGGAACATTAAAGGATAAAACCCCTGTTGCTGTAAAAACTTGCAAAGAAGATCTTCCTCAAGAACTGAAAATAAAATTTCTGTCTGAAGCCAGGTAGGTTCTCTAAAATTACTTGTGGCAGTTTTTTTCAGTTTTTATCACAGATGCATTTACAAAACCTGACCTTCTGAAAAATTCAAGAAAGCAGTTGTCAAACTTTTCCTTCTTTTCTCTCCCTCAGTACATTCCACAGCTGTCACCCTCGTAACTAAACATTGGCATTTTTAACGTGTGAATGCAGTAGCATTTTCACTTGCTGAAACCATCTTGTTGACAAAGCAAGCCATGCCTGTAAAATAAAATTTTGTTGTCTTAAGTGCTTTCATTTAGAACTTCTAAGATATACCATGAGGATTGGGATAAGAGTGGAAATGTTGTTAATTTAAGTGTGACTATACCAGGCCTAACTCCTGCCTTATATTCCTGGCTAGTAGAGATGATCAAATGTGCGCAGATTGCTTCTCTTAGTGGGGTATAGGCCCCATTCAGTAATTTTCTCTTTGTAAGAAGAATTTGCTCCAGTAGAGCTTTTTTTATACTGTGTCAATCAGCATGAGATTATATGCTTATTTTCCAAATTACATGACATGATACAATGTGCAAAGCATTCTGAGTATCAGCTAATGTACATAGGTAGATTGTCAGACTCCAGGGTGAGGGCTATCTTGAGATAAATGTCATAATTTTTAAACTACCTCGCTCCTTCTTGCTTTGAGGATCCATATGCTTTGATTTCCACTCCCAAGTTAGTGTGATGAGTATTGGAAAATAAAAGACACCATCTGCGTTTATAGAATAAGGATCAGCCATCCTATCTGTTGAATAATTTAAAAAAACTTGTAACTTGGCAACAGCAGAGATATGTCATTTTTTAAGCAGCTTGACACTAATGGGAAAAAATGGTCTGAAAAAATAGAATGTGTTATTTTTTGCTAAATGTGTGTGTAGGTTAGTATTTTACTCTTGTTCCTTGGGAAAAAGGGAAAAAGATGAGGTGCTTTGAGTCAGCAAATATCAGAAGGAACATTTAAGTTACAAGATCTCTGTAGAATTTTTTCTTGCTCTTCTTTTCACTTAAAAATCATAGCATGCTGTTTTAGGCTGGAAATGTTCTTATTAAAGCATTGTGTCAAAAGATGTAAATAGTTCAGTTAATTCTCAAAACTGATGTCCTTATAGTCTTCTAAAACTTACTGTATTAATTAATCTCCCAAAGTAATATTGTAACAAGTGTTCTTTTGAACAGTGCAGCAGGGAAACATACAGACCAGCTGTGCATACTGTTTTGATGTTGCTCTGTTTCTGGTCCACCACTGAAATTCTGATTATATACAAGGGTTCTATCTGGCCATTTTTTAGTTATATATAGATAAGTGTCACATAGACAAATGGTAAAATTACAATAAGAATAATTTTTTATTTATTAGTGAATCAGTTATGATGTTCATTTAAAACAGAGTGGTGATTGATCTAACAGATTCTATCAAATCATTGATTTTGATAACAGTAGTGATATTTTTTCTTTGATAACAATAATATCTTCCATTAAAGTAACATTAAGGGTTTTAGATATTCTCCTATAATGTTGAATCAGCCTGTACAATAAAGTTTATTAATATAATAAACTTCTTGTGTGTTTTGCAGAATACTCAAACAATATGATCATCCTAATATTGTAAAACTTATAGGAGTTTGCACTCAACGACAGCCTATATATATTGTTATGGAACTTGTTCCAGGTAATTGGTTTTTTCCTTTTTTTTGCAGCATATTTCCATAAGTTTCATTGTTTCCATAATGTGAAATGTATTATTTTCCATTTGTCTTATTCTGCCTTCCTATGGCTGACCTCAAAAGTCACCTGTATTGAAAATCTTTGAAAATGCTGGGTTCTACTAGCTTTGGAGTGGTTGAGCTCCACAAATCTGTTGAGAATTTTACTGTAGCCTTTGACGACAACAGAAGCTTCATTATTCTCCTGATAAGATATAAAATGTTATTTCCTTTAACAATAGAGTTCAGTATTGAATAAGAAGTATTTAAAGAAACTTCATGTCTGGGTAAAGTCTCAATTTTAATAACTCTTGTTTGGATCACCTTTATTAATATATATTTTTTTCTTTACCAGAATGTATTATTTCATTTTAAGGTTGCTTTATTTTTGGAATTGAGTTCATTTTATTTAGCAGTGGCTGGAGTGAATTTCAAATTACTGAGATGATAACAGCTTTTGGACAATTTTACCTCTTTGTTGATTTTCTCAGCAGCTGCAAAATGTGTTGGTTTGGTAGCCTCTAGTACTGCTTAATATGCAACACTGTATTTGTTTTGTATATCACTGGATTTATCTTCAGAATTATACAGCAAGCTTCTTTAATAACCATTTTATTCAGGAAGACTTAGATTGCTTATAATTCTTGAATAGTGGCTGTAGAGCACTGATGAAATACTTGACCTTGTGGAGTTTTCTGCCTTTATTAAATTACATTATATTAGATTATTATATTTGTATGCACGATTAACTTTATTAAAATGGAGACTGAAAGCAGTGTCCTCGGTTTTAAGGGGTACTTTAGTAATCAGCTTCTCCAGACATCTCTGAAGATAAAAGTAAATCCTGATCTTTTAACATCTTTATCATTCTGGTTCAGGTTTTCAAGGGCCTTGTACAAGATGTTGAAACATGTTAACGCAATTGAGGAGGAATTGAGTCAGAACTTTCTTCTGATTCTTATGCCTATTTTGCAGTTCAAGTCTATCCAAACATTCTTGGAATTGAATTTGCTTCAGAAAGAAGCTTCTTCCAAAGAGAACTGTTGCCCTGTTTCAGTAGTCTGTAAACCCCCTGGGCTGGCTGCTCTGCCCGCACACCCAGATAAACAAGGGACTGCCTTCAAGCCATCACACTTCCCCATGTGCTCTTACTTCTTGGCACACCAAAAGACTGACCATATGAGCAGAAAACATAAGGATGCCAGAGAAATGTCAAATCACTTAGACGAGTAGAGAAGCAGCAATTCTGTTGTTTTTTCTCTTTTTTTAGTGACAAATTTGGATGAGATGACAAAAAATGGTAGTTAATAGTGCTCTGACTTGGTATTTAACACTGCCCTTTGAGGAACAGGATAATGGTAAACTTGTCTTCTACTTGACACTAAACTTTCTCAGTATCTTCATTGTTTTGTTTCAAATGTGTTTATGCTTGAAGGTGTTTAAGCAGTTTAACTCTGACATTCTGTTTAATAACTAAAAATGTCAAGTTTTAACTCAGAATTGTGTTCTGTGAATGTATGCCTGAGAACACGTGTAGTTTATAAATGTCTGACAGTTTTTTCCCTGAGGATAAAATTAGAAGCATCTCCATAAAACAAGGGATTTCTCCTGTGATTTCGGACTTCTGTCTAATGCTTGCAAATTTTCTTTCATTTTTATATCCCAAATACACATCAGCTGCACACCTACTGTCTCTTTTGAGACTCCTCTGGTGTGGTTCCATAGCAGCTAATTCTGCTTTGCATTCCAAATTATTATTTCAAATCAGAGTCTTAATTTATTCAGGTCTTAGAAATATATATTGAAGCTTTGCACTTTACATAGAGAGGTGGTGTTCTGTTGGTGATTCTGTTGTAAATTGACTCTGTAGACATATCTTTGTTGAAGGTGTAAATGGGATTAAAAGCAATGCACACAGGCATCAGTGAA